AAAGGACAGGATGGACGATGACCTAGAAGGACAACACCTCGGGAGGATGTACAATGGGTCACATGTGGCGTGGGCTTACACTCACCCTCCCTAGCTTTGCCAAAAATTTGATACGCCGACAAAAATATACAACGATCTTACAACCAAGAGAGAAAACAAGGAAAACTTTCTACTCCCAAACGCCTTGATAAGTTTCCTGTATGTAGGTAGTGGCACAAAGTGCATTCATTCTGTCTCTGAAATTAAATTCCGTGTTATTTTTGACCAGCAGCTCAAATTCTCCAGTCAGGTGTTATCGCAAAGGAAACCCAGCTCAGCTTCAGAAAACTATTTCCCTTCAAACGAGGACCGGACACTACCATTAAAAATGCTTTGCAACTCTCTTGTCCTCTCGCATACTAACTATGCGACACACAAAAATAGTGTCCAGAATGGAAAAATAAATTCCACATATGCCACTCATCTAATCACATGGGGACATGAGTTCAACTATGAATACAAGGCCCTCCTGTTCCAGAAGAAAGGTTTGAAACTCAACCTGTTGGAGAGGATGGAAATCAACAAATTCAAAAACTCGCAATATCTTTACGAACAATTTAACTGAATTGAATAATTCCAGGTCAAAATAGTTAAGTATATTTACTCTATTAATTAGTTTTAATATGGATTTTTATCAAGTATCGGCCAATTCTCTTCAATCATTCTAGTTACGATTTTTGGGTACCTACTGTTTATAGCACAATTTTTTCATTAAAAAACACGCTTTTTGGTTAGGCCTTAGGCTCAAATTTTATCTTCTCCCTAGCTCAAAACTTTTTTCCTATGTCCCAATTCTTGTTTTTTTCTTAAAATATTTCTCTCTGACCTCGTTATCAACTCAGTTCCCGGAAATCGCAAGTTTCATCAAGCTGCCCTTCATGCAATTAAGATGACCGTTTCAATAATATGAAATGACATTAAAATTAATTGCATTCTCTGGAAAAATTTATTAAAATACACAAAAGAATGCGCAGCAATAAAAAGTCCGCTGCTATATTTCTCTCTGTGAATTTACGAGTGAGTTGTACGAATGATGACCGTGGGAGCTATGTTTATGGAAAATAAGTGATGACCAAGGTCATTAAAAAACTTTTTGTCTTCATGTCTCCCCTGATGTAGATTGAAGCCATTCATTCCAGGGGAAAATACATTTTTGGGTATCTGGAGTTTAGTTAGTTTCAAAATAATCAGCATAATCGGTTGATACAAGCAAGAAAATGTTGTTTCAATGTTGCAGAATTACACAAATTAAATCTATTATGTTGATTGGTTTCTTGTCACAATGTTGCAGGGACATACCAGCAACGCTATAACGGCTGGAAAAGCAGCGTCCAATTTAAAGTTACAAAAGTTAGGAGCGTTAATTATCCAGAAATACTTATGTTTCCGTACCTTTTAAATGAAACTTCTAGTCAATTTTCAGTTTCAATATTGCTGAAGCAGAAATTAAAAATGCCTTGAATATTTCAATAGCATCCTCATATACAGGGCCATTCAAATTCGTTTCTGTACATGGGGATCTTGTAAACGATAAGAGATTGAGTGTCGGTTAAATTATGGCAAAGTTGCGTGTTTTAGAGACCTATTCAATGATGTAAAGAAATCTTTTGGTTCTGGAGATATAAAGGAAAAACAAAAAAATCCCAAATTATTTTTTGCCTGTATCTTCTTTATTCGCAGACATATTGAAAATCTGTCCACATTTTGCTATTGGAACTTGATGTGGGCTCTCAGAATATATCCATGAATCTTTTATACAGGGTGTCATCTGACTTGGGCCACCCCCATCTTTGAATTTTTGATTGTCGTTCGTAGAGGTGCGACAGCTGCTTAACGGAAAAACA